CTTTCAGATACACCTGGACCTATATCTGGACCTGGACCTATATCTGGACCTGGACCTATATCTGGACCTGGACCTATATCTGGACCTGCACCTATATCTGGACCTGGACCTATATCTGGACCTGGACCTATATCCGGACCTGGACCTATATCTGGACCTGGACCTATATCTGGTCCTGTACCTATACCTGGACCTGGACCTATATCTGGACCTGCACCTATATCTGGACCTGGACCTATATCTGGACCTGCACCTATATCCGGACCTGGACCTATATCCGGACCTGGACCTATATTTGGACCTGGACCTATATCTGGACCTGGACCTATATCTGGACCTGGACCTATACCTGGACCTGGACTTATACCTGGACCTGGACCTATATCTGGACCTACCATTCTGTGTTGGTCTGTCTCTCCTTCCTGTCCTCTCAAAGGTCATAGCAGATGGTCTCTTGTCCTGATCCTGGTTCTGTTGGAGGTTTCTTCCTGTTAAAGGGAATTTTTCTTTCCACTGTCTCCACTGTGCTTGCTCAGGATGGGAGACTGCAACGAAGCCAAGATTCATCTTGTCTGCTGGATTCATTAGATAGAGAACTTTACTAACTGGCTTTTATGTGAATGTTCCTGTAAAGTCCCTGAGACAACTTGGTTGTGATTTGGTGCTTTATAAATAAACTGAACTGAATTGAGTTTAAGTTTCGTCTTTTGAGGTTTTCATTAACAATTTATTTTCTCTACTTTGTATTTATTTATTTTTACATAATTTAGATGAAAACTGAAATAGTATGAAGAATGAAATGATGACGCACAATTTGATATATGAGCCACGCGTTTATAAAACTTACGTCTTTCCAGATGTAGGACCAGATGTGCATCTGCTAAACTTGGTTTCAGACTCATTTATGTGTACGATGTGCAAAGTTTGGCTCTGTACCAATAAGCAGAAAATCCCTGTAATTTGTTGTTGTTGTTTGTTTTTGTTTTTAAATATTGTGTAACAATGCACTTTTTTCCAGCACCTTCAGAGATTTCTGAATCATGAACAAGCTGGTTTGTAGGTCCATCTCATCTTAACTCCTGAGGTTGCCAACAGCTTGTGGTCCACAGAATTATCCGTGAGCTAAAGTGAAGGTTTACACACGAAGAATTGTCGTATCGTAAAAGAGTGCATCGTGGGAAACACTTTGCTCTTTTTAAATTGGGGACAGAGATAACCAAAACTAATATTCAAGGAAATTTGAGGAACTTCAAAGAAATATCTGAATTTCTTGAAACTTATAAAGTTATTCAGTTTGATAAATTATTAACGCTCCAAAATAATGAACGTCTATTTAATTAATTCATTGATTAATCAATTTATTTATTTATTTTACTGTAAAGTTGTGTGTTTTTTGGGGTGTTTTTTTTTTTTTTACTTGCCATTTCTCCAACATACCACTTACGGTTCAAGTTTATTTTAAATATTTTTTCCCTTTATGAAAATATAGTTTTCACACAGTGCCTCTCTGTTTGTTTGATGCTTAACTTCTACTCAGATTTTTCTTCAGCATGTTTTTTTGAAGAGTCAGCTTTGGCATTTTGTTTGAGCGTGACTCTTTTACATTTCCTAAAAGTTTATTCACTAAAATTTAGGCATAGATCAACTTAGGAACATACTTTATTAAGATCCTAAATTACTAAAGGACATGATAAAATAATAATAATAATAATAATGAGATGATATTTGTAAGAATTACATGTGGTAGCTGCAATGACAACTGTCTGAAATTCATAGAAAATGTGATGTTGGGTTTCTCTCTGTGCTGTGAAACTGTATCAGCACTGAGCCAGTTCTTCTTCAGTGGAAGCTTCATACTTTTGAAAATCTAGCTCCTACATAACTGAGTGAGTGCTCACCGACTCTCTCAATATTCCCGATGATTGTCGCTTTCATTGATCCTGCAGCTTGCTGCAGTGCAGACTCTCCAACACTCTGCAGGTCACACGCTGACACCGCACGGCTGAGCAACAGCAGCACACTGCATGCTGTTTGGCTGCAAATAAAATGCTCACATTTTTACAAGAAAACATCATCCGGTGTTAAGATAGAAGTTAAAATAAATACTGTAGTATGGACTTGCTGTTACCTTAGGTTCACAGAAATATTTCCTCTACAAGACACCTCAACAACCTGAAAGGACAACGGAAAAGAGAGACACATATTTGTTTGCGTAACAGGAATATGACATTTTTGAAAAGTGGAACACTTTACAATAGATTGTTGAAAATGCTGACCTGAAGTTTTCCATCAGCACGACAGAAATCTTTAAAGCTGTGCACTTCATCTACACCATCATTGAGATTTCTGTTACAAGCAAACACTTCTGACACCTGAGTAAATGATGGAAAGACAAATACTGAGATGTTGTGTAGAATATAAAGTCAGATTTGTTCATTGAAACTGTAGAAGAGCAAGACTTTATGTTTCGTTGCATTGCTTCTGTAGCTAGGAATCTTGGTGCAATAACATGGTGGGAACGGTTAGTAGGCAAAATTTTATAAATCAGTCAACTTTCTTTTTCTTTTTTTTTTGTGTGAATAGCATAAATAACTCAAGGATTCATGGATTCAAGGTATTGTCATTCACATCCCATGTGGTATACGAGGTGGAACAAAATTGTGTACTCAAGTCCCAGTTACACCCAACAATAGCAAAAATATAAAGTGTAAAAAGAAACAGTAAATAAAGATCTAAGATATCAACTATCACAGTCTGTCCTTTAGCTGGCTGGTATTTCTGTCTTCCCCTTTTCTGCTTATTGTGTTTGTCATTTGGCTCTTTATAATTTTGTGTAATTCTGATTCTGTTTTCTGTCACTTTCCACTCACTGCTCAGTCTTAATCATTCACACCTGTCTCATCAGCCACCTGGCCAGGTGCTCTCATTACTCACTCTCCCTCTGTCTTATAAAAAGCCTTTCTCTCGTCCACTCTTCGTCCGGTCATTGCTCTGTCTTGTACAGACGTCACAGTCCTCCTCTGTTCCTGTTGTCTGATTATCTGCCTGAATCTGGACCCGTCCTGTTTACCTCCCTGATCTCAGTTTGTAAGTTCTTGCTGCCACGTCAGCCTTTTTGTTTTGTTGTTTAAAATAAATTATTTTTATTTTAAACTCCTACCTTGCTCGCCTGCCTGCATATGGGTCTAAATATTGAGGATTGTGACATCAACTAAGGTATACGCTAAACCAATGCCCATCGGTAAACTAAAAGATCTAAGATACGCTAGTCATTAATAGTGCAAAACAATACACCGAACAACAGCAGCACGATTGTCATAGGTTCTGTTCAGCCATAGGTTACACACTAATGCGAGCGGACTTGGGCTCGGAGCCAACCCCAAAACTAACATAAACTGGGATTTATTCAAAGCATGCAATAAAAATATGATAACAAGGCGCTAAAAGTGAAAAATAAATAAATCTACAGCAGCATGGTCCTATTTGCAGGTGGTTCGAACAGTGAGGTTATCTTAGCAACATGGTCAGTTAGCAGCATGGTGCTGTTAGCAATGAGGTTCAGTTAGCAATGACGTTTCTCTTAGCAACATAGTCCAGTTGGCACCATGGTAGTGTTGGCAGTGTGGTTCGGTCGCGGTGTGGTCTTGTTAGCAGCATTAGCAGGTCCCGTCAGCAGCATGATGATAGTAAGGACTGTAGCAGCTGCCTCGCAGACTGCCCTCCAGAACTAGGTATGGCAGATGGAGGACATTCAAGGTTACTCTGCGGAACCAAATGGGTCCATAGAGTTCAGTCTGTGCAGGCAGATGGAGGATAATGGAGACGGCTGCCATGACTGGCCAGAGCCTGAAGTTAGAAGGACTGAACCATGATGGCAGAATGGTACAATGGCAAGAGAGCGACACAGAAAATGCCACAAGTTTGTCGCGGTCATACCCATACCATGGATGTGCAGTGTAGGTGCAAACAAACTAAGTTAAAACAAAAGCAACAGGAACATAATAAAAAGATCAAGTTCAGTGGGAGCCTGTGAAGCTGCAGCTCGACTGAACATGGCCATCTTGGCAAAATGTGGTTTTCTTTGCAGAAAATGTGCCCCAGATAGTTCTTGTCTTCTTCATTATATACAATTCACCACTTGCTCTTGTCAAGGGCGGATGCCTTTCCCCTCCTCTCCTCTCTCCACTTTGCTATGCTGCTGTGTCCTGTCTATGAAATTGCTTCTGAGCCTTTCTCTAAATATTTTCCAAACCGTACTTTTGCTATGGATGTGGTCAGTTGGTCTCTCATTGCAACTGATAAAAATTTTCTCAACAATGAGACAAGCTTCAGGCAAGACGAAATGCCCTGA